CAGCCGCACCAAATTTTGCTTAGCTGTAGACAACTGAATAGCGGGTCGTGTGATATCAAAACATTAATGTTCCTTGTAAGGTCGCGGACCTATGGCAAGTCAGTCAGACCATGGATTCAGCGAAGTCAGCTTCTAGGGAAGCGTTCAATCTGATGGAACAGCGGAGTGTAAAGCAGAGTTGTACTTTGTTTGGCAGCACAACAATTGAATGGCCAAATTCCATTCACCTAGGTTCAGGTATGAAAGTCAAGCCGAGGTCAAAACCAACCTGTTTTATACCTTGGGACTTGCTGTATGAGGTTGTTTGTACTTACTTCGAATTTATTGACAATAAGAATCGCATAAGACATCTTCCATGAACTTCTTCAATGTCCGAATAGGTGGCTGACCTAAAATGAGCCAGGTCAACATTTCGCTTTTAATAGTATACCTAGCTTAATAGCTATAATAGTATACTTTTAATAGCATACCTAGCTAATCTCTGCCGCTTATTTAAATGCAAAACTCAAAGCAATCTTCTATTATTTTGGTCGCCATGACCTTCGAAAGGTCAAACAAGGTAAATGACCTTAAATGAGCACGTGAACTTTTGTTTAGAACAGCTCAAAGTTTGTTTAGAACAGTGCCTAGGTTCTGGAGATGCTGTAGACCAACTTGAAATTCAACCTTTGTTGATCTTATTTGACCCAAATGTCATGAACTAGGATCCTCAAAATTTGACCTTAATGAGTTTACGTACAGGCCAATAAACTCTGTGAATTTGGTGTCTCTAGCTCTCTCAATCCCTGAGATCTTAGCGGGGTCAAATTGACCCCCAACCGAGCGGAGCGTGTCCAGCCGGCCACCCGAGCGCATGTCAGATCTTTCAAGTCAGGTCAAGTCTGATCTTTATATGACTCGGCCCACGTTCATTAAATATTCATGCCTTAAACCAGTGATAACCGAGAACCTACAGCACACATGTCAGTTATGTGCGTGCTCCGTACCGACACGCGTACTATGTGTACAGCGTAAAGATGCATGCTGATGAGACACAGGAAGCATGAGCATTAATTGTCACTAAACTCAATGTGCGCTGACCTCTATTGCCAGTGGAGATTTGAGCATTGACATTTCCCCTTTTGTTTTGGTCGCTCACTTATTTGTCAGCAGACTGGATGTGCGCTTACCTTTGCTGCCAGTGGAAATTGGGGCAGTGGAATTTTCCCCTTTGATTTTGGTTACCCGCCCGAGTAATTACCTGGCTATGCAAGGCGGTGCAACGGAGGGCCACTGATTACACAACCCCTGTCGGTATAGTAGACACTGACTACACAACTCCTGCCGACATAGTAGATTTTGACTACGCAACTCCTGCCGACATAGTACATACTGGCTACACAACTCCTGCCGGCATAGTAGATACTGACTACACAACTCCTGCCGGCATAGTAGACACTGACTACACAACTCCTGCCGGCATAGTAGACACTGACTACACAACGCCTGCCGGCATAGTACATACTGACTACACAGCGCCTGGCAGCATAGTAGACAGACTCAAAACCGCGACAAGACGCTCAACGAAGGTTACGAAACTCACTGAGCTAATCACTCCTAGAAAATGTTATTACTCGAACATGATGCCGTGTTGGTGAAATGTAAGGCATGACAAGTATCTAAGTGAGCTAAGATGACCTTACAGTAATTATATACCTGATATTCGTTAAGTAAGTTACATTTTAGAAATAAAGTTCCGGTGACGGACCTTGGTCACAGAATCGAAAAATTTAAATTCAAAACCTGACCCCTTCATACTTCGATTGTGTGAGCAGGGTCCGTGAACAAAAAGTCATTCAAAATATAACTTGCTTAACGAATAACACGTTCGCAATAATTGTAACGAGCTCATCTTCATTCCCTTCAAATGTAACTACATTATGCCAGAGATCTTTCATCAGTCCCTGCCAGATCGCGGAACAAATTGCCGATCCTTCGGAGCGTCAAGGAATGTTTAAGTATAGTATCATCAACCAGCTTGGTATAAACCAGATATCTCCACCACTGCACCGCTCATCAGGCGCTAAAATTAGTAATATTCTCAGTTATCCACTCCAAATTGAAACTTGGACTTTCTTATATACGCCTCTCCACGACTAAAAACTAAACCCGCCTCCGCCCTTCGGAAGTGCAGAAGCAGCCTGAAAACCTCCAAATACTATGCACCGCAATACCCACTGCATGTTCGCATTTGAATCAAAACTTTCTTAGGCACCCAGGTACCCTATCCTTAACTGGACGTTTATCATGGCAGCGACATCGCAACCAAAGGGAGCCGTACAGAGTTGCCAACATGTTCCAATAGTTTCTTGTCGTCATCATGCTGTAGATGAACACGGAGCCAAAAAGGAGAGCTGTCCGAATTCATTTTCAGACAACAGCTATCATTTTTACCACACAAAAAATTTCAAGAATACTTGAACCCGGGTTTGTCCGAGTAGGAAAACGATATTCGAGCTCACGGGAAGGTTTGTGGCTCACAGTTATGTGGTAAACCGACGTAAGGGGCCATCTGGTTGGTCCACCGCTGTCTCGGGCCGGAAATGGTTCGAAACGGATCCCCATGGCAGCATCAATGAGACTTAATAAAACCTTGGTTGTCCTCGGCCAGTTGCCTGGGCAACCCTAATTGGGCAGCCCAAATGATTGTAAAGAAGCTTCATCTGATTTCCTAAAAAAAAATACAAAAATCACCAGACGCCAAATTTATCTGGTCAAGAAAGGCTGAACCTGCACCCCTGGTTGAGAGAGAAGGCTGCTGCTTTTGCAGTCTTATTTTGCAGTTCCACAACCGTCAGGAAAACACCATAACCCAGGGTAATAGAACACTGGGAACCCCAAAGTTTTGACTAGCAGGTATCGACACATACTATAAGTATATCAGAATCGGATTAACGCCAGACTGATTGACTTTGGACCCCCGACCACAGCCATCATTGCAGAGCAATATGTGGTAGTGCTCATTCGGTTTTGGGAGCAGCTGAAGCGGAAGTACGTCGAGACAGTCCACCTCCAGTGGCTGCAGTGGGGTGGGTACACCTTCTCGCACGTCTCGTGTGGCTCTGAGACGGCTTCAGGACCGCTTCAGGATTCTCTCCGAGAAGGTGGCGATTTCCTGTCCTGCGCCTCCCCGGATTTAGTATCCCTTTATTTCCCCTGGGTTCCCTACACTTTCGTGAAAAAGCTCAAGAGGTGTCGTTCACGGGTCGTAAAGACCTGAAATTAAAAATGGAAGGGGCGCGCACAAATATTCAGCGTGACCCGTGAGTTCGAGCCATGAGACAGGGGCTGTGCTCTGCAAAGCGCTGGGGGAAGGGGGGGGGGGCGGTTGGATTGCGCACTGCATTTCGAGGCGTGCGTGCACTGACTGTAACATTTTGTTTCGGTAAAAATACCCCATAAACACAGCATCGTGTGCTCACAGGGTGAGTGACGTCACAAATTATCACATCTATCGACTTTCAATATTTGGTATCTTTTTGGGCACCCTTTACCATGTTAAGCAGCCTCAAATGGCACGAGATGGCTCACGCTTTTGGCTAAGGCGGTAGTCGACACTTCTGTGGTGGCGGTCGGGCATTGCAAGTGGCTGCGCGCGTGTTTGTGTGTGCGATCCTTTCGCTAAACGTGTCTTGGTGGGAGGTGCTTCGTTGCAGGCAAATACATTTGTATCAACGGTATGGCCTGCTCATAACATTCTCTATCATTATGACATTGCTTGTTTTTTTATTTGATCTGATGCGCTTGTACCGACAACATGGGTAGCATGGAACATGAATACCCGTCCTCACAGTTCAACGGTTGCGCTGTAGAGTCCGTTGATCCGTTTCTGCAGCGGTGTCAAGCGCGACACTAACGGAGTCAAGATCGGGTAGCGCCAAACGGGGACCGCCAGTTATATTTTCCAGGTCATGTTTTGTTGCAGGCCCGTCGCCGGCTTCGCGATATTTGGGTGACCTCCTGGGCCGCTTTCCCCATCACCAACAGCTGTCTATAAGTTACAGCCTATGAGGTCGAAGATAAGTGTGTCACAACAGCTGCTCCAGCTGGAGGATAGCCGCTTATGTATGACGCAGGTACTTGCGACGTAATAGGTAGCATTTCAGGCAGGTACTTTGCCAATGGGGAAGGCAGTCCTGGTGTTCTCTGGCTGTGGTGCTTGAGGGTTATGGCCGCAAACCGGTTGGCCCCGACCCCAGTGCGCTGCTGCGGCGGTGTGCCCGGTACACGTGACCCAGCCCGAATCGATGGCCCTTCCGGCGCCTTTGGCAAGTGGGGCTGGTCCCTTGGAGGGCTGCCGGCTGCACTGGATTGCAGTGTATTGGTGCATGAGAGGTATACGTGGCTGTCTTACAAACTGGCGGCATGCCACCAGGAGAGTGGCGGGGTTTGATCCTGTGCTAATGACATGCCGTGGCTGATGGTGGTGCAGAGGTCTGTTTTGTGCTGCTCTTCAGGGTACGGTGATTAATGTCGAACAGCTTGCATCATGCTCTGTGCCGATTCTCACGTTACGGTGTAGAAGGGTGCAATGACACTATTTGTTACGGTGTTACAGCCTGGCCTGTGCCAACGCCACAACGCATCCTGTTCCGGTACCTGCGCCTCCCTCTGCGGCGTGATCAGCCGGCAGTGTGCCGGTCTCAGCCTCAGTCCGGCCGCTCCGCTTCCAGTGTCCTGCCGACATCGGCGGCACAGACGACACAGTCCCCGACCGCTAGCGCTTCCCGAGGCCCCGGTCGACGCAGCCGGCGCCGCTGGCCGGGCCGGCGTGCGCTGCCGCCGCCGGGCCGGCACGGCAGCCGGCGGGCACCGGGCCGCCGTGTGATTGTTTGCCGGTCGCCCGGAGACGACGACCCGACCGGCTCGGCGGCCACGGCGGCAGGCCGGCGGCGGCGGCCGGCGCACTCGCTGGCGGCCGGCGGCACCATGGGGGCGGACGGGACGGCCGCCGATGATGACGGCATGTTCTGCGAGCCCTGGATGAACAACTGCGTGCAGCAGGTCAACCTGCCAAACAAGGGATGCCAGAAGGTGAGTGGCTCGAGCGGCGGCGCTGCGGCAGGCTAGCCCCCGCCGGACTGGCCGTGACAGCGGTGCAGGCGGCACCGGACGTATTGACGCGTCGATCATGATCAGCGCGTGGCTTAGTGACAGTGCGTCAGCGACATGATGGCCTACCTAACGAATCCGCATTGAAGGCACAATGGGATGCCGCCTCGTCCACAGCTGTCCGCGCGGAGATGTGCTGTTGCCAGCAATGCAACGCTCCGTTGAAACCTGGCACCGGTACGGGAACCGGTATCGGCCCTGGTGGTACAAATACCAGTCCTGAACCCGGAAGCTCAGCTCGTGTGGGACCTCTGGCCAGGATTTATGGGTTTTTATAAGGAGCATCGCGCCTCTCCTATTTTTCACTTATTGTTACATTAGACGCGAACGAGGTGATCAGTAATGCCAGTTTTTCGAAATGCTTTTGACTAGCTCAGAATTTCGGTTTGAATTACTCACTCGGACGAGAGAAATACAACTGGACTCCCTGCCATCCACTGTGAAAATAATGCCTTGCGTCTGCTTTTTCAGCGTGTGTTCTACTTAATATTTGCAAGATGCCAATGACAGTGTTTGTGCCCTAAATGACAGGAAAGCTTGGCACACTATTTAGAAACAGATACGCATATATTATGTCGTTTTCACGTGTGTTCAACGAAACATACCATGGCTTGGATTTCTATGGTTTTATGATGTATTGTTGTCGCTGTTGCTGCAATGACACTATCTAGTTATGTTAACAAGCGCTCGGGTGGGGGTCAAATTGACCCCCCAAAGGTTTTTTTTCCAAAATGGTTTCCGAACGGCGCGGCGTAGCCACGCCAAATCTCGCATAGTTGTAGACAATTGAATAGCGGATCGTTTGACATCAAAAATTTAGATATACCTTGCAAGGTCGCTGACCTATAGCAGGTAAAAGTCAGTTCATGGTTTCAGCGAAGGCAATTTCTAGGGAATCGTCCAATCTGATACAATAACGGAGTGCTTGACGAAGCCATTCATCTCTGAGATGCTTTCTTAGGCATCACAAATATTGAATGAGCAAGTTATGTTGACCTAAGGTCAGGTATGAAGGTCAGGCAAAGGTCACAACCAACCTGATTTATTGCTCTAGGGCTTGCTGTACAGGATAGTTTGTCGTGCTCAATTTCGCATTTATTGACAGCAAGAACCGCACTATACATCTTACATTGACTTCTTAGAGGTCGGAAAAGGCCATTGACCTAAGATGACCCGGGTTGACGTTTTGTTTTCGGAAGATACTGCCTAGCGTCATATTTGTCGTTTGTCCAAAAGCAAAACTCAGAGCAGTCTTTTATTATTTTGGTCACCATGACCTTCAAAAGGTCAAACTTGGTCACTGACCTCAAATGGGTTTTTGACCTTTTACTTCGAAACGGTTGCCTAGGTTCTGGGGGCACTTTGGAGACCGACCTGGACTTTGACCTTGTTTGACATTATTTGACCTGAAAGCCATGACCTAAGAAGCTCAAACTGTGACCTGAGTGAATTTCACATACAGGTCAAGACACCCTGTAAGTTTGGTGTCTCTAGCTTTCTTATTTATCGGGATCTCAAAGGAGTCAAATTGACCCCCCACCCGGGCGAAGGGTATCTAGGCCGGCCACCCCGGCGCGTGTTAATCATCTCGTTCTGCAAACAAACCATTGGAGAACCCCATTCTGCACCCCCTTCGGTACAAGGATGTTTCCCTTGCCCCCACACCCCTAAAGATCATTACATAACGCATCCGGTTTTTCCTGCATTCATTGCGTTGAGTCTCTGGGACAGGTTGTGCGTATTTTTCGATTCACATATTTTTTCCTCGCGCCTGAGTACTGCATGACCAGTTATTTCTTTTGTACTAGGAAACTCCAAATACGTTTGGAGGTCCGAACTACACATCACACTCCCCATGCGCAATGCTTATTTCTGGAATTTGGGATATAACGGGGGGTACGTGCTGGGCGATTTGCGTACAGTTCAAATAAAGAAACGACATGCGAGGAGGAGACTAATGTGCGCGTGGCGTATATTGCCGTGACGTCCACCATTCACCTCCCACTCAGTGGAGGTGGGGCAGAGGACCTCTGCGAATTGAAGGCGATGGCCAACCTAACTATGGGCAGGAACAGAGAACAATCGCTAAATAACAGGTACCTGTAAACTGCAGACTACGGAACTCGGTGTTTCATTAACATTAAATTATTGTGTTGACCGTTTCGTGGCCTACGCCGCTTCTTTGACCCAGATGAGTCAGACTTCGATGCTCTCAGGACCACATGGAGATCAACGAAACTGCGACTGGATAAAGAAGTCGTAAAAGCGGACACCACGCTCGCAAAACTACGGTTCCGCTCGTCTCGCAGATAATCCAAAGCATCTCTGTTAATTACGACCAGGCACAAAGACAAAGGTATAATGTCTTGTCATTTCCCCGTCTATGAAGCCGACAGGACCGCTCTTTACAAGCAGGAAACGGACTCACGTGGGAGTTACGTGGACCGCCGAGTTTGTTCCAAACTAAGTTTCGAACGGCGTGACGCAGCGGCGCCAAATGTTGTATAGCTGCAGGCAACTGAATAGCAGATAGTCTGGCACGACAAATTAGATGTACCTTGAAAGGTCGCTGACATATGAAAGGTCAAAGTCAGACCATGGCTGCCCACGAAACATTTCCTAGAAACAATATGATGCAACAAATAAGTGTTAGGCGGAATCATGCAACTTTGAGATAGCTTTGTAGACGGTAAGGCCATTGAAAGCAGGATTGCGACCAATTCCAGTGACCTTGGGTCAGGTATGAAGGCCATATAAGGCCAAAATCAAACAGCTTTATTACTGGCAACTTGTCTGATGTAGTGGTGGCTTTTGGCGATCATTTTGAATTCCTGGATCACTACGATGTGAAAATATTTTGACTCAATCAAGGTCAGGGCAGGTCACTGCGCTAAAATGATATTGAACAACCTTTTGCTTTGAGGAGCATGCCATCAATGGTACGACCTGACGCCGCTGTATATTAAAACATTTATAAAATCCCGAATTTTTGGGTCAGTTTATCTTCTTGAGTTTAAATAATATCACTCGCCTGACTTGAACACCGATAGGATTATGCATATAAGAGGTATGTAGGTTAAAACTGGTTGCATGAGGACATCTGAGAGCACTGCGGACACTAACCTGGAGTTTGACATTACTTGACATTATTCGATCTGGAGATCATGACTTAGTAACCTTAAAATTTGACTCAAGTGAGCCCTGATAGAAGCCTACCTAACCCGTGAATTTCATAAGTCTGGCTTTCTTAGTTTCTTGCTTCTAAGGGGTAGGTCAAATTGGGCCCCGACCCCCATCAGAGCGCATTACACTCAACCCGCCGCCTGTAAGCGTATTAACAGGGCGTCGACCATCAAAAAGGTCAGAGCGACGGATGCAAACCTGTGTGTTTCGCAAAACGCTGAGGTCAACGCAAACTTCCGGTGTGTTGGGCTTAGCCATGAGCATACTTGGGTGAGTGCAAACAAAAGATAGGCGACTTAGACAGAGCCAGTTCGTTCTCATAATCAGATTTTACCGCGGTTATGCAGCCGCAGGATGGTGGTCACAGAAGCAGACCAAGGATGGTGGTCACAGAAGCAAAACAAACGAGCAGACGACAACGGTAGAAGCAGACGGGCGACAGACGAGCGGCTGCAGCGGCAGTCAAGCGGCAGACGAGCAGCCGCAGCGGCGGACGAGAGGCCGCAGCGGCAGACGAGCGGCGGACGTGCAGCCGCAGTGGCAGACGAGTGACATTAGCGGCCGCAGCGGCAGTCAAGCGGCAGACGAGCGGCCGCAGCGGCAGTCAAGTGGCAGACGAGCAGTCGTAGCGGCAGATGGGCGGCAGACGAGCAGCCACAGCGGCAGACGAGCGGCAGACGTGCAGCTGCAGTGGCAAACGAGTGACATGAGCGGCCGCAGCGGCAGTCAAGCGGCAGACAAGCGGCCGCAGCGGCAGTCAAGCGGCAGACGAGCAGTCGCAGCGGCAGACGGGCGGCAGACGAGCAGCCACAGCGGCAGACGAGCGGTCGCAGCCGCGGACGTGCGGCAGACGAGCGGTCGCAGTGGTAGACGAGCAGCCGCAGCCGCACGCAAGCAGCCGCAGCAACTGCAGCGGCAGACGAGCGGCATATGGGTGGTCACAGCAGCGGCGGCGGCGGACTGCACCGGGACAATCGTTTTGGGGGGGATTCATGTTTATCCCCAATGTCACCCATGTGGACCACTCCTCAGCCCGCGCTACCTTCCCTTGGTGTCCTCGTCCGCCTGCGGTCACGATAAATTCAGAAATGATACGCGAATGCGTTTCAGCTTTTGCGCGTAAGATCACGTCCGCACACGTTCACACCACCAGGCCGGCTCCCAGAGGCGGCGGCGGGCCAGGACAAGGAGAACAGCGCTCATATGACAAATCAGGCCAAACGCATTTCAGGCTCAAACATTTTCCTAGCAACGAACAGAGAGAATTACCTCGGCACCAAAGTACCTGCTACGAATTCCACCGCACCGACCCACAGAGCTCAAACCCTTGCTTATACGGTACAGCACGGTGCATCGACAAAAAGTTAAATGGAGAAAGTCAGGTAGAGAAAGTCGGGCGGCAAAAGATTGGCAAGGATAGAAGTCGAAAACGATTAAAGCCGGCAGTGATAAAAGATTGAAAAGAACACTTTACCAACGGGAACCAACACACCAGTGGAAAAAAATGAGCCAGGGCCTCGTGTCTGAAAAAAAAACTGCTGGCGGACAGGGAAACCAGGATCTGGTGTCTATGAAAAGCCAATGGGAGCCAAGTACTAGCTTCTCGTGTTTGTAAAAAAGGGAAACCAGGAACGCATCATTTTATTTGCGAAAGAATAACAGGACCAGGAACCACGATGCTGTATTTGCGGAACAATCAGTAGGATCCAGGGACCAAGGATGGCGTTTATAATATGACT